AATTATTAAAACGTTATAACTAGGTCCCACATTAGCGACCAAAGTTGGTCGCTAATTTTAATATTTCTTTGATCAAGCAAGTCTGACCAGCCCGGTCAACATGTTGACCACTTTACCGACCAAAAAGCGACCAACCTTGGTCGGTAAATTATTTAAAATAATTATTTAATAATTTTCTCCACATTAGCGACCAACTTTGGTCTCTTTTTTTGACCGACCAACTTTGGTCGCAAAATTTTGGTAGGTAATTCCTAGATTTTTAGTAGTGAAATTAGCCAAACATTTAAATGGTGTTAACTTGGGTTATCTCCAAAATGATCCGCTAATGAATAGATGTGTTTAGCTCAAGTTATATTTTTCTGGGCTAAATTTGACACCAGAATTCCGATCATCCCACTAGCATGGTTGATCGGAAACAGCCTCTCCGGACCGAGGGTCTTTCGAAAACAGTCTCTCTACCTTCATAAGGTAGGGGTAAAGTCTGTGTGTACACACAATTCTTCACATACCCCACTCCTGAATTTCACTGGGTTTATTGTTTTTGTTGTTGTTGCCACTAGCATGGTGGACAAGACTTCCTTGTTATTGACAAGTGGTGGTGCCAGCTAATCAGCTACTGTTATGGGTACGCAATAGTTTCGTAATAACTTACAATTGCAACAGAGCTCATACTAAAATGTTTAGGTTTCTGATTGGTTTTCATACATATAGACTTAGATAGTAACCAACAAACGAACGAAACGTCAAAAAGATTTTTCAGACAATAACTATCTCGCTAGTTTCTTTTGTGCATTAACATGCAGAAAAATTCTTGAAGTCCAAAAAACCATCATATATTTTGCAGACAGAAAGATACATTTCATAACAAGTGATGCAGATGATTCTTAAGGACCTACATACCCTTCCCCAGTACAAAGAGCAACAAATAAAAGATGCTTTAGAGGTCCCCAGTCTCATTCCCATATTGATATGCCTATATATGAATATGCAACTAAGTCTTTCAAGAATTTAACGAATGTCAACTGGGGTATCATCATATCCATGATTTTAAGTCAATGAGAAATTCTCTTCTTAAAAGCGAAGTCCGAATTTGAAGTTTATGAATTCGGGATTCCACTTATTGGATTCTAAATTAGTAATTTTTGCATATTTAATGAATTTCTTGAGACAAATACAAAATTTAGACCAACGTCATTGAATTCGGTTGAACCTGTAAGTTGTACTCTAGCTCAGCCCATGCCCTTGTAATAATTCTGTAGATTAATTTAGAAGCCTTGAAATGACCCCCAAATGCAAAATTCAACTACACAAAGAAAATTGAGGTATTGAAAGAAGGACGGGATAATAATCTAAAAGGTAGAATAATTAGCACAACGACGGCACTAGGGGTGTCAAATAGACGGATTGGGCTGATTTTGGGCGCAGGTCAATGACCAGCCCAAAAATTTACTTGGAATGTAGTGAGCTGGGTAAAATTTAGGTCATAGCCCAACTCGCCCAACTCTTATCAAACTTTAATTAATGGATGTTGTTTTCTTATGAATTATTTAATTATGAAATAAGATTTTTTTTTCTTTTATTATGGTCATATATAATATATCACATAAAAAATAAATATTTTTAAGATAATTTAGCAAAGTTACTCAAGGGCTAAAAATCAGCCCAACTTTAAACGGGTTGAAATGGGCTGGGTAAAGATGAGTTGAGTTCAAGAAAAAGGCAAGGCAACCCAACCTTGAATGGATTGGACGGGTTAAATGGGTTTGGACTCAAATTATCACCCCTAAATTTGTACATTGCAGCTATTGCATAATGTTTCCTTTTTAACAATTTAAACTTAGTGTAAAACGAGGTACTCGCTCAATTTAATACCGTATCAAAGTAACGTCGTAGCTAATTCGAGTCCCGCCACTTATGCACGTAATCGGTTCAATAAAAGAAAATCACTCTCACAAATGTAAGAGGACATTAACAGACCTAAAATCTATTGATAAAATTGGCTCCTCTATAATAGTTTAAAGTAGGCATACAACTCAATGACCATAGTCTAACGTCCTGTCTGAAATTACATGTGCGTTAAAGGAAGAAAAATATTTTCATGTTAGATACGTTCTACTATAGTATGAAATTGGCAACAATTTGGTCTGCTCCTATAGTTTATTCTTGTATTGCAATTTAAAGCATAATATGATAACTTTAAGAGCCTTCAAAAAAGATAATCATAGAATGTATCATTCACATATGAGTACCATAAAAAGTTCGGTAAAATGCCTAATATAATAATAACGTACCTAATGTAATCCTATAAGTGGGATAGGATCTATGTAATCTTACCCTTACTTTGTGTGAGATAAAGAGATTATTTTCGATAGACCCTCGGCTCAAGAAAAGTATTTTCAAACCTAAGAGTAAAAAATATATGATGATGAAAATACAGAAGAAAAGAAAAGTATTAACAATAAAAATAGTATTAAAAAAACAAAGTAATAAAATAACGGTAGTAATAAAATTGAAGAATAAGAATCTAGCTCTCCCACGAAAAATAGAGAAATTGCTCGACTACCTAAAATAAGTGATTTTTTTGTTGTTTTCACACATATTAAGAAATTCACCTTTTAACATTAATTAGCAATAAAATTGACCATATTAACCTTTACTATCTCTTCACATAAACACTCCTAACACGTACTCCAACATTAATTACTCCAAGAGCAATGTAGGAAAAAAAAAATAATTAATTCATTCTTGATATCTGAAAAAATCATTTATTTTGGACCGCAAGAAAAAAGGCCAAAAAATCACTTATTTTGGACCGGAGGGAGTAACATTCTATCATAATTCTCGACCTCTATGTTCTCCTATCTAGAGCCATGTCCTCAGTGAGCTGAAAATGTATCATGTCATGTCTAATCACATTTCCCTAATTCTTTCTCGATTTACCTCAGAATTTTCAATAAGGGGTGCCAAAATATATAAAAATAAACATATCATAAAATTAAGGGGGAGTCAATACATAGTATGTATACATATAAATTAATTTTTTACCTACCTACATAGTGTATTTTTCCCGCGATGGGGTGTCATTTGACACCCCTTCCTATAAGGTGGCTCCGCCACTGACTAAGGCATTTGCACTCCTCCTCTTCACATGTTCGAATCATCTCAACCTCGCTTTCTGCGTCTTGTCCGCCACATAAACCACTCTCACTAGTAAAATGCCTAATACATATATTTAACGTGGTTTTAGTTTGCAATTCTAAGTTTTTCTTCAAGAAAGTATTTGTCATATATATATATATATATAGACATCCAAATTCAAGACGGAAATACAAGTTTCAAAATTCTATCAGATAAAAGATGATTGACACATACAGAATAACATGTCCACTAACCCTAACATTATATAATCTGATAGTGCAGTTTGAGCAAAGGCAAAAAAAAGGTCATGAGTTTGAATGTGACATTTAACCATGTCACTAGTCAATTCAGCCATTTTTGGGAAAAGGGTTGCATGTGGAAAGTGCTTTATTAATGACACTAAATAAGAGATTAAACATCCAATTTGGAAGTTTGAACCATATGATGTCTCTCTAATGATGATTAATAGCCTAGACATTATCATCCCTAACCTATTAAGCTATTACATTAAAAAGGAAAAAAGAAAAAAAAAACATGATTAAGATCGTATATTGCCCGTCACATGGCTGGAGATTAAAAAATGAGATTTTATTTATCCTTTACAAAAATTATCCTTGTTTGAAGCTTAGGACTGAAGTGGTGGGGTCTTATTGCATCTATTTTCAAGATGCAAGTTGGGTAGGAATTGATGTCTCTTGAAGGCAGATTATTGTTGACAAAGGCGGAGCTAGAATTTGAATCTTATGGGTTGAGGATTATAATTATTTTAATAAGTTATTGAGTTCTAAATTAATAATTTATACATATTCATTGAATTTTTTTATACAATTATAGCGTTTGAACAAAAATTACTGAGTTGAGCCAACCTGAAACCAACATTGTGGCTCCACCCCTGATTGTTCAGAATTGTACTGCAAAGAGATTCATAGGACCACAGTATATCACAACTAACAAACCCCACCCCAAAAGAAATTAAGAAAAGAAAAGAAAAAATACATTAATCAAGCTAGAGCTTCATAGTTTGACCATATTGTTAATAGAGCACTAACTATAATCAACTTACGTTAAATTATACTTTGAAAGAGCTTGGCTCATGGTTAACGGCTTAACGCTGTCTTAAAAAGTTCTGTTGAGCTATATGATATCTTATTACTTTAGGTTACAAAGATCTGGTGTTATTCTACCTACCGTTTTAAAAATTTTGTTTGATTGCTCTGATTTAAGGACTAGCATGTGTGTGAATGAAGAGTTTAACATCTGTGGATCAATAATGTATAGAAATTTTTTATCAAGTTTAAATTTTTATTTGATTGCTCTGATTTAAGGACTAGCATGTGTGTGAATTCGAACTCAGGCTTATAGCCTGTTTGGCCAACCTTCTAAAATCAGTTTATTTTGAAAAGTTTTTTCTCAAAAGTACTTTTGGTGAAAAGCAACTTGTAAAGGGCTAATTAATTTGAAAAGCATTTCTGAGTGGCAATTAGTATTTGGCCACTCAGAAACAGCGCTTCTTACCGTAGTTTTCTCAAAAAATACTTTTGGGAAGAAACTATTTTTTCTGCTTCTGCTTCTACTCAAAAGCATTTTCTTTGCCTTCTAAAAGTTTGGTCAAATACTTCAACTTTTAAACAAACAAAAAATAGTTTTTTTTTTTTTTAAAAAAAAAAAAGTGCTTTTGACCTTGGAGAAGCTTGGCCAACAAGCTATAATAGTCTATCGAATATTTCAACTGATATCACTAGACAATAAACTTTGGTGGTAATAATTTTGTGTATGCCATATGTATACTTCATAAAATAGAATTTTAAGTTATAAATATTAACAGTGTAAAAAATATCAATACTATTGTTAGTATTCTACCCCATTTCATTGACATTGATCCACGCACCATTTGGCTAAACGCAACATGATCAAATCAAGATTGTAATGACCCCACTTAGAGAAGTCTCTTTCTCTCCTTTTTTTCTTCGCTCTAGCTACATCCTACAATATATATAACAATACATGTCTTTGAGGGAGTGTTAGTGCAGAAGCATGTAGACCAACGTATCTTCTCTATACATATATATGGGATTTTAAAAGAAATTAGCAAGTCAACGACTCTCATTAAAAATGACATCAGCTTCCACGTCACTCTCCAAATTGTCCATTTCCTTTTAAGAAGGTTTGTGCACTCCAATTGTCTTCTCATACATTCTCAATCTCAACTAAAGCTTCACTCTTTATTTACTTTCTTTCTTCAAAACCTCAAATATACTATGTACGGATACAACAATCATATGGAAAACACATCTAGTTATGTGTATACACATTTTCCAACTTCACAGACTATGCCACTGGTCTCTTTACCACCACCTTTGGCCATACCCTCTGTGAATAATATTGAATATGACTCATTATCTCCATTGAAGTCCGAGGTTGGTTATAACAGTAGTAGTTGTAGTAGCTATGGTTCTCCTAGTTCAGTTACAAGTTATGGAATACATGATCCAAGTAATTTGATTCAAAGAAGCATAAGCAGTCACTCACTTCTCAAGAATAATATGGAGGGCTTTTGTCCACTGATTTCTTCACCAACTGGTTTTCTTGACTCAGAAACTACTTCTGTGAGAAAAGTTTTAAGCACCGGCGATTTGCAGGTGAAGTACACTACTTAACGAACTCATATACATTAATTTACGTACGCTATCAATCGTGTATTTTAACCGGTTAAATAAGGATTACTATAGACAGTTACTTGTTGTTGTAAATCATAACTTAAGATGGTATACAAATATTATACACTGTTAATGCACAGAAGTCAAACTCTTACAATACATAATCTACACACATTTATATATCTTATAGGAATTTTATTTATACATATAACTTACATACACTTACAGTGTAAATAATTTCTTACACTTGTGTATTTTAAATATTGTAACAGCTAATCTACCTTATATTTCAGGTTACTAATTAGACTTTTTATGATACTTTTTATGGACGGTTACCTATAGTTATCTTTTAATTTAGGTCACCTTAAAATGTGAACATTCTTTTACACCGTAACATCTATGAAAATTTGTTTCTCTTAACTTCACATTACATATATGTAACAGGTAATGCACCTATTGCAACATAATCACCGGTCAGAAAGCAGTTTGTCCAGTGAGAGTAACAGCATAATTGAAGGAATGAATAAAGCTAGCAGATACAGTCCTGAAGAGAAGAAAGAGCGGATTGAGAGATACAGAAGCAAGCGAAATCAAAGGAATTTTAATAAAAAGATTAAGGTAACGATGTTGATGACATATTTTCACCATGTACCGACTCTTAAAATTAAAAAAATAATAATAAATAAATAAATCTTGGCGTTTTCGTTGTTCACTTAATTTAGCCGATAATTATAATATTTTGTCATATAATAATAAAATACGGATTAAGACTCATCAGATGATGACACCAAGTAGTAGTATTTCTGGATAGTATATTTAAGGACTTTTGTCACTTTTAGCCAGCGCCAGAAACTATTTACATTTGTAGCCGAAAAACGTATAAAATTTGTATAATTTTTGCATATAACATATAAAATGGATATACAAAAAATATACACTTTTCGAATATTATTTTTCCTATATTTAATTAACATATGCATGGCACGTACCATGTGCATACAAGACTTATGATATGTCCTTTAGATGTTAATGCGCTTTAGGGACCACAATAAGGACTTCCAAAATGATAAAAATTACATCTTTCGCACTCATACTTTCTATCTTGGTTTCTATTAAATCTCACATCAAATTTTTATTTTTATTTTTATTTTTTGTCGTCAAATATCAGTATGAGTGCAGGAAGACTTTAGCAGATAGTAGACCTCGCATAAGAGGAAGGTTTGCAAGAAATGATGAAATAATGGAGAGGACTCCTCAGAACGAATATTGGACTCAATCAAGGTTAGAGGAAGGCGAAGAAGATGATGAGAACTGGATTGGATTTCTTGATGCTTTTTCAGCAAACCTTATTCCATAATTATATTTATTTAAATTAAGGGGAGAAAACAAAAAGAGTTCCTCAAGTTTTAATGTTCAGGAACTCTTTTCATTGTGTGGCAGTTATTGTTTTTCTAGTTTTAGTGATGTTTAATCAAGAATCCCTTTTAAGATTGACGATATTATGTACATTTGGCTTATTGCATAATGATTAAAAAAATGTCCATTTGGAGCTTCTGTTTGCAAGTCTTATAGTTGCATATTTTACGGGTCAATGAATGACTTATTAATTATTATTATTTAAAATATTTTTTTTATTTTTGGCTGAAGGACTTATTAGAGTGGACCTTGGGATTCTTTTAGTTCTTGGGAGCTGGGCTCGAGTAGGTTCGTGAATAATGCGAATTAGAAGATAAAAGGGAGAACATTTTTATAAGATAAAACATATATACATTAACGTGATGCAAAGTGAAATTAAAACTACTAAATGGTATATCTGTTTAACACTTAAAATTAATTTTGTATTTTATGTCTTAATCTCTGCTATGGGAATAGATAGATTTCTTACCACAACAACTTTCATAATCCATACCAATGACAGCATGTGTTGACTTGCCACAGTCTATTCCCACTTGCAAAAATAACATGTCCTAGCTAAATATTCATATAAAACATGATACAGTTTTAACTCCACCTCAACGTTTTGGGAAAAGTTAATTGAGTTTGTGTTAGAATTGTATTTCACTAATCATAACTTGTCCAATCATTCTTAAACCTCTAAATTTTGTCAGTCCAAAATCTAATTACCACTTCTAATGAAATTGTTCGGATAAGGAAGATTTCAAGGTGTTAAGAAAATTAAGAGCGACAGTTATAGCCACAAGAGTGACAGCTAAATAAAACTTGCTTATTACAATGGATAGCACTATTCATGGGTGTCAAGAAATATTCATCCTTGGTGCTTATTGCCTAATTAATATTTGGCTATCACTTTCGAGGCAGACAAGAGGTATTGAAGCAACAAAAAGCATTCCCAATAGGCAACTACTACTCCCCATTGGGAATAATTATTGAGTTTTAGTTCGACATAATGACCGGTTTATACAATCAAATCACTTAGGAGGCAAGGCAATTGTATGTAAATTTCTCTTATAAGCATTAATCGATAACATGATTATTGCGGAAAGTAAGTTTTGGTTGTCAATACATGATAACATAGTAGCAAGTAGCAACTATATCCTATGGACTGGACAGTGGCAAAACACAACGTAACACGTTTATGTACTTCAATAACTAAAATCTGGTCAAGACATTAACCAAAAAATGACTTGACCATTGTTGATTTGGATGTTTCAAACGAGTTTATCATCAGAGGGTGTTGAAAGCGATTTGGCAAACAAAAGCTTAGTGCTCCTTTCATCTCATCTTATTCAACATTGCTCATCTTTCTAGAGTCAACCAACTAGTTTACATATTAATCGGCCATTAGTACTGTATTATTTTTCACAATAAATTCATAAATTGTAGGCAGATGTAGCCTTCACCAGCAGATGCAGGCATATTTATATTTATATTATGTTTTTACTCATTCATGGACGGAGCTACAGCTGCAAAAGGTGGTCAATTGAACACTATTTGTCGAAAAATTATATTGTGTACATAGGTCAAATATCACTTATTATACATATATATTAATAGCGAACATCCTTATTGAAATTCTTGGTTTCGCACTCATTATCAGAAAAGAGTAATTAGTGCATTAGTCATCCTATTGATTCAAAATCCCAAATCTACTTCTACAAGAGGAAGTATTGAACACATGACTAAGAACAACTTTAGTAAGACAATCGAAAAGATTTGTGGCCAACGGACTGCAATATTATTAATGCATGTTCCGTACTATGCAGTATTCAGGTTAAAAAAAAATTAACAGAAATACAATCAGCAACATGATCACTAATTCTCTATTTTCTTTAAGACCAAGAGACTCCACTTTTTAAAAATTTTAAATACAAAAGCCCTAAGAAAAGTACCCCCACCATCAGGGAAAAGTTAACGCTGGAGAAATGATGGATATAAATAAACTACTAGTTGTATTGTTTAATAGCTGTGGCTTTTCCCTACTCTTCTCAGGTGCCTTTGAAACTCTAAAGAGTGTATTTGGCTTTTAGAGTCTGTAATGCTAAATTTTTAATTGTAAAATGAAACCATTATGGCTATCAGCCTACACTTTTACACTTAATCATTTGGTTTCTCATGTTACTGAATGATGAGTTGAAGTATATTAAAATCATTTACCATGAATGACTTTGACTTAGATGTCATCAGAATCTGAACATGGACTTTGTTTACTCAAAGGCTACTTACTATCAAGTTGGCCCCTAACAGTAGGGAGGAAGGCCAGTTCTTTTCTGTCGGACGGCGGTGGGCTTCCCACTAATTAAGAGACATAATCTAATAAACTAAGCTGCTTAGACCCATGTGTGTGTATTCTTTAATTCTGAGTGATTCTAAACTTTTTATAGCTTCATCATAGTCTAACTGTTCTGTTTCCCCTAGTCTGGTCTGGTGCATGAGTCGTGAATCTTAAGCTGAAACTCCTTGTCAAACTACGTAATTCGATAACTCATAAGAAAACTTAGAGAATGGAGGGTAGGATCCAGACATAAGGCCTGACAAAATATTGTTTGTTCGCAAACAAAACAAAAACAAAGTTATGTTTCTAGTTCCCCAGTTCCATGTGGACTACATCAGTCACCCTTCATTTCACACGACGGCTCATATAACCAAACCAATACTCAGCCCTCCAAAGCCAGAATCCTCAACAAACAGCAAATCTGACCAAAAAACTGATCTTCAATGCTGGTTCCAGCCCCAAAAAAAACGCAAATAGGACACAATTTTCGACCTAATAATGGATATCAGCAAGATTCTAAAGACCCTACTATCTTGGGTAAAGCATGTCCTATGTCATACCTATGCAGCCAAAAAAAAAAAAAGATCAAGCGCAGTCACAGTCCAATGTCATGCAACAATAGATTAATCCTCGTCATTCCCATGATAATGATAATGGAAGCACACGGTAGCTTTAGCATCAACTGAGTCTTCAGGGGGGATACTAAAAGCTCGAGCGCATGAGTCCTCAGGGGAATAAACTTAAAACTTCAACATCATACATTGTTGCTATAAAATTCAAAAGATACAACTAAATACTTTATGCACCTTTGATTTCCTCAAGAGCCACATACTACACATAGACAGGGAGGATGTAAGCATGGAGTAGCCAATAATTTAAGATCGAACTCTCCATGTATAATTATGCGCACGCACACATGCACTAAGTTCGCCCCGATTATCACTAAGGAATAATGGATATTGGATTTCCCTCCAGATAAATTTCTACATAGTCATAAATAACTTCTCTTCCCTCATGTTTCAATCTTTCTACCTAAATCACCGAAAATACTAAATTTAGGAGAAGTACTTACCATAACAGGAAAAAGCAAGTCAACAACTCAAAACTAGCCGAAAAGAGAAAGTGCAGAAAAGTGATCGTGAAACAAACCAGGCAAAGATTTTCCCCTCTTTTTCTAGTAATGAGTGCAGGTCTAATCCATGTACTGATTTCAAATCCTGAATCTACTCTCAACTAGAAGGAATTATTCCTCATAACTACAACTTATTAAGATAAAGTTAAAAAGTTTCCTGGCCACTGGCCTGTGCTATACTGTTAAAATGTTAATGAATATTCCGTACTCTGCAGTATTCAGGTGAAAAAATAAAACAGAAATACAATCAGCATCATGATCTCTAATTTTCTATGTTTCTTTAAGAGCATAGAGGCTCCCTACATTTTTAAATACAAAAGCCCCCAAAAAGTACACCCACCATCAAGAAAAAGTTAATGCTGGAGAGATGAGGGATATAAATAATCTACTAGTTGTATTGATTAATAGCTGAAGGTACCTACAGCTTTTCCCTACTCTTCTCAGGTATCATTGAAACTAGAAAGAGCATATTTGGCTTTAAGAGACTAATGCTAGTATTTTATTATCAATGAAACCCATTATGGCTATCACTTTTGCACTAATCATTTGGTTTCTCATGTTACTGAATGATGAGTTGAAGCGTAACTATAATTACATATTATGAATGACTTTTCGACTGTAGAGGTCACCAGAATCTGAATGTGGACTTTGTTTACTCAAAGGCTACTTACTATCAAGTTGGCCCCTAACAGTAGGAGGATAGCCAGTTCATTCTTGTCGGACTGCAGTGGGTTGCCCACTGATGAGCATCTACTTAATTAAGAAACATAATCTAATAATGTAAGCTACCTAGGTATTTCCGTGTTTGTGTACTTTTTAACACTAACTGACGCTAAGCTTTTTAATAGCTTCATCGTAGTTCTAACTATTCTGTTTCCCCTGTTCTGGTGCATGAGTCGTGATTCTTAAGCTGAAACTACACATCAAAACAAATAAGTGAAACTTAGACAAGAGTTCTTGTCTGTCATCATGTATATCTGAAAGGATCCAGACATAGGCTTTTTTTTTAATAATGTCGGTGTCTAGGCCATGTTGAGCGTACCTCAACTTCCATGACTGTCTTGGCTTTTTATCTTGACTCTTCCTTTCTGCTATCTTGGTGGAAAATGTGACAGTGGTATCGCTTATTTTCAAGAATACCTATGAACACAATCTGACCAAAAAACAACGGATCGTGAACGCGGCTTCCAGCCAAAAGAAAATGAAAAAAATAAAAAGAAGATGCAAAGAGACCCCTACTATCTTGAGAAAAGTATGTCCTGCCACAGCAATGCAGAAAGCCAGCAACACAAACAAATGATCAAGCTCTATCACAGTTTACAATGTCATGCAACAATAAACATATAATTAAATAGCTTTGAAATACTGTTAGCTTTAGCATCAATTTAGCAATACTTTTGACACATAACAGCAAAAGCTCATGTGAAGGAGTTCTCAGGAAAAGAAAAAACTAAAACTTCAATATCATAACATTGAGGCCCCAATTTTAATAGATACAGCCAGATCCTTTATGCACCTTTGACTTCCTCAAAGCGCCAGAAACCAGGCACAAGCGTGGAGTGCATCCAGTGCTTTCAGATTGTTCTCTATAAATATAATTAAATAGCTTTGAAATAGATACATTTATTCAAGTTGCTTTGATTGTCAGAAAGGAAAAATGGGCTATGGTAATCCGAACCCATCAATTTAGAATTCTAAATTTTGCCTCCGGGCACGTATGGAGTTCTGATAATTTGGACATAACCATGACTGACTTCAGTTGCCCTAATGTTTCATTACATGTCTAATGACACAAAATTACTAACTTTGGAGCACTTATCCAGAGCATGACAAAAGGAAGTCATCTACAAGCTGTGAAACCAGTAAACGGAGAAGAAATTGCAGCAAAGTGGCCATCATACGAACCAGGAAAAAGTTCCTATATTGTTGTTTTGCTTGTTTGGGTGGGTTGAGGAGGGGCTTTATATGGGGATGAGCATATTCTTTTTGAGTCTAGCAATAGAGGGTTGACGTGAAATGTATTAAAAGTAATGGAGAATGCAAAATTTTGCGCTTGTGTATAAGAACCTTCTTCAAGAATAATACTTAAAACTTAGAAGTGGGCAATAATCCGTCAATAAATTGGTAATATATGGCTAATCAAAGGGAAAAGGAAAGATGGCTGCTCAACGTGCATTTGACGTCAAAGTTAACTTACATGAAAGAATTTTAATCAGTTTCCCATCAATGACATAATTGCAGCAACCGATATGCACTCATGAACTTTAGCACACTGCTATACCCCCAAAAGTCGATACCGCATCCATGAATTTTGGCATGCTCTTCCGCTCATTTTTGCCACCTTATAATCGTGATAAAGTTTTCCGTCAGCGACACATTTCCATCTATAACCATCTTTTTTTTACTTTCCCTCCGAAACCATCTCTTGTTTCGTATAATAGTATAATTATAACTTTTCCTCGTTAACCATTTTAATAGGATTACCTTCTTGCTTTAGAATGATTTATCACAACTCTCAAATGAGTTGTCAAAATAGATTGTTTCTGACGAGATAAGAACAAGCTGTATTTCTGACCATAATTTTCAGAAGTTCTAGCTCCTTTTCCTTTTTTTTTCCCCTTTGATTCTACAAAGTTAGATCAATGTAATAAAACAGAAATTCAAAACGAAGATGATTGGCCTTACTGTCAAGAGAAGTAGAAGCAAATTTATTGAGCAAAACAAAAACAGAAAAGCAAAACGAAGAAAAAGAAAGAGATGCAATTGACAGGACAGATTAGCTTTTTTGCTCCAGTTCTGACACATACTCGTTATGGATCTATGCAGAATTCTTGATAACTGTGATTAACTTGCTACTAAGAAAACTGAGACTGTAATGAGAAGATTTTGATGATCATGCTGATAAACATAATATTTAATGAGCCATCAATATCTGAGTGCACCTATTAGATAAGCCACGTGATATTCAGAGCTTTGATCCAGTCAAATTAACAGAAGAATCGGAATAACAAGCAAAAGAGCTCAAAGGACATTATGCAAGAATAAAGTAGCCAAGCTAAGACAATACACTTGCCAATTGACAAACAAACTAATTAGACAAACTCACAAGTTGTAACCTAATTAGCAAGCTCCTGGAAGGAAACATAGAAAGTCGACAAAAATCTGCAAGGTATCAAATTCTTCTCCCTGCAATATATAAGATCGAAGATTTAAGACATGTTTGTCACGTGCAGATACAGAAGAAAAGAGCAAAATGGAGCTGGATGAAGCTGATAGATTCAAAACGAAAAACAAAAACCACGCTAAATACTTGAAGGGAAATAAGTTGCGCAGAGCTATCGATCTAACAAGTTCCCAAACATTCCTTCAAAAAAGTCCAACTTTTGTGGCTAATAATCGTACTTTTATAGTCCCTAAATTCAGTAATATTTATTTGCAAATGGAACTTAATCAACATTTGGAACCAAATCAAAATTGTTTCAGTTTGACTCCCCGAAATAACCTGGCTAATTAAAGTCGGAGGAAGAAGCACAATATTCAGAACACTTCTTATCTACTAGTAAAAGAAATACTTCATTTTTTCAATTTTATGTTGCGCAGATACCAGTTGACTAGGCATGGAGTTCATTGTATAAATTGGGGGGAAAATCATGGTAATAACTGAAAAATTACTTTCACGTCAACGTTTAAGTTTGTAGTTAAACAGATTTGAACTTTTAAAAATTGGGCAAGATATAGAATTACTAAAATGCTGTTGAACAGTTTAAACATCCCAAAATGGAAGTGTCATATAAATTGGGATATAGGTGGTAGTAGATCTCTGTCTGTCAGAGATTCACCCTGGATCTGATAACTTCGATTATTGCCAATGTGTCTCAGCTCCCCCTCTAAATTGGAAATTTTCTGCAACCAAGTGATATTCCTCTACTTCCATTTGATTACTAAGCTCATTAGTGGATGATCCATCAGCTAGTAGAGCAATCATATCTCATATCCCTAAATAGTTCTTTCTTCCTTTGACAGTTATGAAGTTGTATCTCAATCAGCACTTCACCTACTGTTGAACTTTTAGGGTACTTTTGATCTTAATGTCGATCTTGCCTAAATAATGTGCTTTGAGATGTCTATTGTGATAAGCAGAATTTCATGATGTCTTGCTTCTCAAGATAATCTCTTTTGCTAATTAGTTTCCTTCAAAAAACTTAATGAATGTGCAATGTGCTTCCGATGCCTTCCCCATTTTGAATCATAGCCAAGTCAGTAGATCTCTTTTGATAGAGAATTGCACAAGTCCTGCCGTCCAAATTCATGAATGTGAAACACAAAAAATAAGGTCAAAATTTTGGTTTGGTCTCTGAACAACTAGCAAAATGAAACCTCATAAAGATATTGTTTACACACTCTATTCCTTTTATCTGACCATCCTTTACCTAAAACAATAGGATAGGAGAGGCCAACCCAGAAGGTAAGAGTTTACAGCGCAGCCCTGAAAATTTGGCCCCAAGGACGTATGCTCATACAATAAGTGGAGCTTCTGGCTAACAAAGGTAATACCTGCTTACATAGTGAAGTACATAAGGTGGACTGTTAGAAAGCAAGGAAGTGGATATAAATGAGAGACAAGTTCAAGAAATTGTCAGAAGACATTTCCAAATTGATGGAGTTATGAGATTGGTGAAAGAGAAGTTTTATTTTTCTATTTAAAAGAGCTTGAAAAGGGAACTTATGATCCGATTAGAGAAGCAGCCTAATCTATATTAAGAAACATGCAATCATTCCTCATCAATTCAAAGTCAAAAACGAAAGATTTCTCCAGCAAATCTTCTCTCAACAGTTCTTGAAGTAATCACTTTTCATTGTGACAATTCACAATTCAACCGTAGCATGTCACATCATCTTGTCCCCATTACGTCGAGCGGTCGAAGAGTACCAATGGTCACCCTAGCCCATTGAGTGCTTTACCTCAGGCCATCAAAATCATACACTCTACTGAATAGATTCGCAGAAAACCAGCCATGTTCGTTCATGGTTGGCCTTCCGCCCCTAGCCACTATTCATCCCTGTATTTTGCAACATACGTGGAATCGATCCTCCAAAGCCTGTTAGAACTCTCATTTCACTGATAAAAAATATAGCATTGAAGCGTGGTTGTATGATGTGATACTTAAGATAGGCAACCAAACATTTGATTTAACAAGTGTACTTTGGATTCTATGTGCTTGACATTTTTGGTCCTGTTGATCTAACTACCCCTGGATTAGTTCAATCGGTATAACTATCTTGTGATTACACTAGAGCTTTGAGAATGGACTCTCTGTACGACATCCCCCTTTTTTTTCAATGATCAGAGGTAAAATTTTATTCAATAAACAGTACCAAAGAGGTACTGATCAACTTCTACAAACTCTATGTCCAGCATCCCTTGCATGCAATATGCAGAAATCATAACTCTTCATTGTGGAGGACTCAAAAAGATGTGCTGGTGATGTGTTATTTCATAAGGTATGCGTTTAACACATTTGTAATCATGAGGACTGAAAGCAGATGATCCATCATAACCTCAGGTAACATTGCATCTGTAAGACGGGTTACATAATTCTACGTGAATATCAGGGAAAAGGAAAACTATCCAAAGGCAGAACTACAAGTCAAATTAGAGTAATAACCAAGGTAAAAGACTTCCATAGTAAAATCACTTTTCTCCAGCAAACAGTTCATTCAATGTAGTTTTACTCGGAAACGAAATTATTTTCTTGTTCATAGTTTTTATCATTTCTATTACTAGAGTATATAAACGATTTAAGATCCCAACTTGCACTTCCAATGAAACCCTAATAAATTTACATAGTGGTCCTGTCCAAACATTTTGATCAAAAATCAGATAAGCAAATGTAACTTTTATGACAATGAAGTAGAAGTACACACCTCAATTGCAGCTTTAACCATAGATTGCTTCAACGTAAATGGCAACTTTATCGAGAAATCAATAGCAATAAGAATCACCTGAAAAGTAGAAAACGACAAAGTAATCACATAAAAATTATAGCATATTCTGATCAGAGGCGTCTAATACTTCGAGTTAGTAAATGTAGACTACCGTTGCATTAATTACGTCTGTGTGGCAATAGTTCGAACTTAGTACAACTATATACAGCTACAATTACCAACGCCTTTGATTGCGCGGTTGTAGGCTACTCCGGTGTAGCGCAATTGCCGCGTAGTTTTGTTCTTGGCGGGTTTGATCAACCCGAAACTACTCTACCTTGTAAAATTGAGTAGAGTGGTTTAACATGCTAAAGCAAAATAAAAACTTTAAAAATATTTCCTTAGGTTTTGTTGGGCCGAAGGATTCCTCAAATACAAGGCCCAATAGTTAATTTCTGATTAGCTTTTAGCTTTATTATTTTGGGCCCAATTTGTATAATACCCGGGCCCAGTTAGTTTTGTAATAAGTCATGTTTGACTATATACATCAGCTCATTTTTTCTAGAAGGATAAAAGAAGAATCATAATAAAAATATCTTTCCTTTTCTATCTCTTCTCTCTCGTTTTAGGGTTTTCTTCTCATTTGAGATTTCTCCGATTGACTCTGATAATGGAGTCTAACATGGTATCAGGGCACTTCAATCGATCTGCCTCACTCACAGCTTTCGTCCGATGGTAACCATCAAGTTTGGTTCGCCGGTTTCGTTCAGATCGAAAAATCTCCTGTCAGAATCTTCTGTAAACTTCTCTAAGTTCTTCGTCTCTTTCTCGTTATTAGAAGACCTTAGCTTCTTTAGGTGTGCGAAGAAGGAGGGTAAAAGTTCTATTTTTTTACTTGCATGTGAAAATCTAGGTGAAATTAGGGCATTTTTGTCATACTTGTGAAATTTGAGATCTGGACTACTTCTGTGATTGTCTACAAATTGTTACTATAGAAATTTATTTTGTGTGTGAATATGGGAACTCCTTCATCTTCTACTGATGGTTTTGTTGAGTTCACTGTGGACTCATCTCACCCGTTCTATATTCATCCCACTGATAGCCCTGGAAGTCAATTAGTTGTCATACCGTTTTATGGAACCAGTTTTGTGCATTGGCGCAGTAGTATGCTTACTTCCTTATCTACCAAAAATAAATTAGGAATAATGACTGGTAAAGTAGCTCAACATCCACCTAATTCTCCATATTATCCCTTTTGGGAAAGATGTAATGATATGGTGAAAGCTTGGATCACCAATTCTCTGCCTAGGGAGATAGCAGCGAGTGTTATGTGTCTCAGCACTGCTAGGGAAGTGTGGAGTGACATAAATGAGAGGTTTGGACAGTCCAATGGATCCAAATACATTCAAATCCAAAGAGAAATTAGCTCTACCTCCCAATGATCTTCTGATATTGCTACTTATTTTACCAGAATGAGAGCTTTGTGGGATGAATTGAATTCTTCTTATGTTGGTCTCATATGCTCTTGTGGAACACTACCCAAATTTACTGAAGACCAACATCTTTTCCAATTTCTGAGTGGTCTAAATGAGTCCTATTCCACAGTCAAGAGTAGCATTATGCTTATGTCTCCACTTCCATCTATTAGCAAAGCATATTCTTTGCTTCAATATGATAAAAGCCAAAAGGAAAACCAGCCTCCAAATCTGGGGTTTTCTGGTAATTTAGTTTCCTTTTCTGCTACTTCTTCCAACTTCAATACTTCTGGAAACTATCAACATAGTGCAAAGCCCTTCAATCAAAGAATCAATTTTGATCAAACTAGGAAGTCTTCTTCTCTGTCTTGCAAGTACTGCAAGAAACCTGGGCACACATCAGACAAATAGGCTTCATGGTTTTCCAACTGACTTCAAGTTTACCAAGAACAAAAGGTTTGTTTCTGCTTCTTGTGCACAAGTGGAAGATAATGCTGCTCAAGTGGTACCTCCAAATGAAACCACAGCTTATGGCTTCAACAAAGAGCAATATCAACACCTCATGTCCCTGTTTCAACAGGCTCACATATCTACTGGGAATCCTTCCACTTCTAGTGACAATATTGCATTTGCCAACTTTGCAGGTGTGTGTCACATGCCTATAGAACAGTTGCTTGTAGTTAATTCTGAAGTTCAATGTTTGTCTGCTCAGTTAGGAAAGATACCTTGGATATTGGATATAGGTGCAACAAATCACATGACCTCCAATAAATAATTTTTAGACAATCTACAACCTTTACCTAAAACCTTACTTAATAACTCTACCAAATAGATATAAAGTTAAAGTAATTTATACTGGGTTATTACAACTTAGGACAGACATTATCTTACACAATGTACTGTTGGTTCCTTCTTTCCACTTTAACCTTATTTCTGTATATCAACTCATTTCTCAATTACAATGCTTGGCATTATTTAGTAGTTTCTCTTATTTTCTACAGGGCCCTTCTCTGAAGAGGCCACTAGAAATTGGTAGAGCTTCTCATGGACTGTACTTTCTGCTTCCTGATATGCCTGAATGTTCATCTTCCATTCATGGCAGTCCATCTGGTAATACATGTAATGTTTCTAATACATGTAATGTTTTCAATTCTGTAATCCCTTTCACCAGTCCTTCTTGTAATTCAACTACAAATGTTAATAAAATGGAATTGTTTTGGCATCAAATATTAGGCCACATGCCTCTTCATAAGATGAAATTAATTTCAGCTTTATCTGACATTATCCCTTCTAGACAATCCTTTTCATGTTCTATTTGTCCTATGGCTAGACAACATCCTGAAAGTCATATAAAATCTATTTCTCATTTTCAGCTGGTCCACTTAAATCTTTGGAGACCCTATAATACCAAAACATACAATGGTTTTAGATATTTTCTTACCATTGTTGATGATTTCTCCAAAGTAACATGGACTCACTTATTATCCTACAAAAGTAATGCCTTCACAATCATTAGAGCTTTCACAAAAATGGTTCAAACTCACTTTCAATCATCTGTTAAAACATTCAGAGCAGATAATGCTTTTGAACTAGGTGGAAGTTCTGAAGCAAAAACATTCTTCTCTGAAAATGGCATTCTTCACCAAACTACCATTCCTCACACACCGCAGCAGAATGGAGTAGTTGAAAGAAAACACAAATATCTTTTGGAAATATCTAGAGCCTTACTATTTGAATCCCATCTTCCTGTTAAATACTGGGGTGAATGTGTATTGACTGCAACTTATCTCATAAACAGGATGCCTTCTTCTGTCCTAGACAACATCTCTCTGTTCCAAAAATTTCACGGGCTCCTCCATCATATGATCACCTCAGATCATTTGGATGTTTATGTTTTGCCACTAGCCCTAAACCTGGGAGGGATAAGTTCCAATATAGAGTTATCAAATGTGTCTTCTTAAGATATCCTTGTGGTAAAAAGGGATATAAGCTACTTAATCTCACTAATCATTCCATCTTCTTTTCGAGAGATGTTGTGTTTCATGAACAGATCTTCCCTTACTCTTCTCCCTCCTCTCCTCTACAACCTTTTTCTTCTGTTCCTTTTGAGGATAGTATACCCTCTCTATCCTCCGTTCCCTCTCTTCCTCAAGTTCTGCCTTCCTCTTTTAATTCTCCTGCCCCTAATCATTCTCCTGACCCCCCTGATTCTCCTCCTTCTCCTTTTCCTAATCATATAGATCCTCCTCTTCCTCCTCTTCCTCCTTCTCCTGCTCCTGATCCTATGGGTTCTCCTCCTCTCAGAAAATCCACTAGGACATGTCGCCCTCCTACGTACCTCAAGGATTATGTTTGTTCTTCAGTTATTACCAAACCTGCTTCTAAAATTCCTAAGGTTTCCTCCACTGAGTTGCACATGCAAGAACTTCTTTATTACCAGCAGGATACTTCTTATCCTGCTTGGCAAGAGGTCATTCTATAAGAATTTAAGGCTTTAGATGCAAACCATACCTGGGATATTGTTCCTTTTCCTCCTCACAAGAAGCATATTCCTTGTAAGTGGGTTTATAAGATCAAATAAAAGTCTGATGGTTCCATTGAAAGATATAAAGCTAGGTTGGTCATTATGGGTGATACTCAAAAGGGGGGCATTGATTACAATGAGACTTCCTCTCCTGTTGTCAAATTCACCACCATCAAGTGCCTACTTTCTCTTGCTGCTAAGAGAAACTGGACTGTTTATCAACTTGATGTGAATAATGCTTTTCTTCATGGTGACCTCAATGAAGAGGTTTACATAAAGCCTCCACCTGGTCTTCCGATTTCTGCCCCCTTGGCTTCTGGTTCATCTCCTTTGGTTTGCACGCTTCTCAAGTCTCTCTATGGCCTCAAACAGGCTTCCAGGCAGTGGTTTTCTAAGTTGTCTGAAGCTTTGTCTTCAAAGGGCTACATTTCTAGCAAGAATGACTATTCACCTTTCACCAAATCATCTTTCTCTTCTTTTACTGTCATTGTTGTTTATGTTGATAATATTTTACTTGCTGAGGATGATGTGAGTGAGCTTGACAATTTGAAGTCTTTCATAGACTCCTAGTTCAAGATCAACGACCTAGGGGTTGTCCATTATTTTTTGGGTCTTGAAGTTCTGAAGACTCCTCATGGGTATTTGGTTAGTCAGCATAAGTTTGTATTTGATCTATTGAGTGAATTCAACTGCCACCATTTCACTCATGTGGTCACACATCTTGAGTTTTCTATCAAGCTCACCCCTGATATGGGACAACCCCTTACTGATCCTAGCCTCTACAGATATTTGGTTGGCAAATTAAATTTTTTACAACACACTCGACCTGATATTGGCTTTTCTGTACATCATTTGAGTCAATTCCTTCAGACTCCTCAGGTTCCTCATATGCTAGATGTCCTCCATGTTCTTGGATACTTGTTAAATGATCCTGGACAGGGTGTTTTCCTCTCCAACACTTCTGATTTTTCCCTTGTGGCCTATGCTGATTCTGATTGGGCTGCTTGTACTCAGTCTCGCAAATCTATAACTGGTTTCTTCATTACATTTAGTGGTTGCCCCATTTCCTGGAAATGCAAAAAGCAGCCCACTATCTCTCTTTCCTCTGCTGAAGCTGAGTATAGGTCTTTGAGGAAAGTTGTGGCTGTGATATCTTGGTTGGTTCGCATATTTGGTGACCTAGGTATGGTATTCTCTTCTCCTATTCCAGTTTTTTGTGACAGCCAGACTGATCTGCATATTGTCAAGAACCCTGTTTTCCATGAAAGGACCAAGAACATTGATATTGACTGCCATTTTGTTCATGATTGTTTGCAATCTGGTTTGATATCACTCCACCATATTAT